GGTTGCAGCCGTCATTGTTGTTTGGCAGGTCCGGGCTGGGGATTCGAACCCGCCACCTTAGGTGTACGTGGCTGGCGCCCTAGCCCGTTGAGCTATAGGCGCTGAGCGTAAAGATTTTCTTTCTTTCTTTCTTTTTTTTTTTTGGAGACAGAGTCTTACTTTGTCACCCTCAGTAGAGTACTGTGGTGTCACAGCTCACAGCAACCTCCAGCACTTGGGCTTAAGCAATTAAGAGAATAGCTTAAGCTTTGAGACAGAGTCTCACTCTGTCACCCTTGGTAGAGTGCCGTGGTGTCATAGCTCACAGCCTCTCAAGTAGATGGGACTACAGATGCCCACCACAATGCCCGGCTATGTTTTGTTGCAGTTTGGCTGGGGCCAGGATCAAACCCACCACCCTCCATTTATGGGACTGGTACCGTACTCACTGAGCCACAGGTGCCACCCTTAAATTGATGATTTTCTAATTCCAGTATTAGGACATGTATTAATTGGCATTTTATTGAAAAGAAGAGCTTTATCTTCTCCAGCCATTTGTTTTTATCAGTATGAACTCACAGACTTTTACTTGTTGGGTTAAAATCAGTATCCTTAATTACTTTGATGCTCGAATTGTCCCTAATTTGGTATGTGTTGTCTATATCCTTTTGACAAGTTCCTGTCCTACTTTCAGTACTTACTTTCTATCTCAACAAGGCATTCTAGGTTTAGTTTGTACTTTGCCACAGTCCTAAAATCATCCATTTACCAAGGAGCCCTGGTTCCTGTCAGTGAACGATGAGATTTAGAATCTAAGATCTGTGCACCAAGTATGCTTATTGTTCCTGGAATGTCACTGCTTCTGAGTTCTCTCAGCAGACTAACTCAAAGAAAAAACTATGTGTGTACACATACAGATATACATACATCCGTATATCTTTGCATATCTATCTATTCATATACAGGTGCTCCGGAACTTATGATGTGATTAAGTCTTGACAAACCCCTCATAATTAATAAAAATACCATAAGTGAAAATTGTATTTAATGCTGGCAACACAGAAAATGGTCCCTGACTTAAGATGATTTGACTTATAATTTTTTGATTTTACATTGGTACAAAAGAGATGTGAGGCTCGGCGCCTGTGGCTCAAGCGGTTAAGGCGCCAGCCACATACACCTGAGCTGGTGGGTTTGAATCCAGCCTGGGCCCACCAAACAATAGTGATGGCTGCAACCAAAAAATAGCCAGGCGTTGTGGCGGGTGCCTGTAGTTCTAGCTACTTGGGAGGCAGAGGCAGGAGACTTGCTTGAGCCCAGGAGTTAGAGGTTGCTGTGAGCTGTGATGCCCCAGGACTCTACCCAGGGGGACAGCTGAGTTAAACGGCTCTGAAACTGTGTGTATATATAACATATCCCATATGCACATACATACAGATCTGTTCATGTATCACAAATATTGAGCCTAAGCTGATAGTTCTGCTTCCAGTCTAATACTACAGGGTTTCTTACAGGCTTCTGCCTGTTCATATTTACAACTTTATTTCTTTTTTTTTTTTTT